TGCCTTGTATGTGACGTTATAATACACACAGTACCTTATAAAAGAACGAAAAAAGACTCGGACTTTAAATTGTATATAACAGAATTGGCGGCAGAAATGGTAGAAGAACAATATGATCTTCAACTGAAACGGCGTAGGTCTAACAAAGTCGTGAAATTATGAGCTCTCTTGTTTGAACAAACTGATTTATTTTATCATTTGATTTTAGCATTCATATATCCGAGATTGCATTACAAGGGCAACGTAGAGGAAAGATCAGTTGTCATTCCTAAGAGAAAAGACCTATTGATAACTGAGATACCTTCTCGACCAAGTACACAAAAGATTTATGATAAAGTAGACCCCAAATCGACTGTCAATACCACTGCTGCAAAACAACCTGAGTATATAATCGCTAATGATCGTAAAGATAATAAGGATTATTTGATTATTTCTATCGAGACTCCCTCCATGGATTCTGTGAGTTATGGAAATTATCTCATGAAATCAAAATTGAAGATTTGTATTTAGATGGTTTCTTTTTTTTTTTCTCCTAGAAATTTCTTCAGCAGACCATAATAGACATAGAACCATTACGACTCATACTACACTCACCAGATAAATATTCATTAGATATACCTTTGCCTTTTCAAGTTGATATCACAACGGCCACAGCCAAATTTGTAAATCCTAAGAAAAGATTTGTCATAAGAGCCAATAGAACATGATAAAGGTATTTATGGGATATTAATCACTAAATTCTTAATCATTATGCTCAGAATCATTATTTTCAAGACATTGGCCAAAGATTCAAATGATGTGATTGATGCTAAAAAAATTTCTTCGAATTAGCTATCGAATTTTATTGTTCATTGACATGAACTGTTAATTTATGTAAAGTTGTGGTTTATAGGTTCTTAGTAATCATTACATTGTTTTAATTAGATGCCTCTCATCATTTAACAATCTAAAGGTATTTTATGTTTTGACTAGTGGTATGGAAAACAAATATTCTTATGAATAAAATCCCTCAAACAATCCAATTAAATATATCTTTCCAAGGAAACCAGTTTTAATTAGGAATATTCTATTCTGTCAAATTTTTAATCAAGATCTTGAAATTCTTTAAATTAGGTTGGAGGGATAATAATAATCATCGATGTTGATGAAATTCTCTTTGATGGTGCGCATTGACGAAAACCGATATAACTTTTCGAAAGTAACAAAATAATATAAATAAACTTCCTAACTGGAGATGAGATCATGAATATAACTTCATTAAGATGATAGTTACCAAATTGATGCTCCCGGCTTTGTCATTAGTTCCAGAGGCTCTTGAACCACCAAACGGTTGCTGACCTACAATTGCACCGGTGGACTTATCATTGACATAGAAATTGCCAGATGAATGACGTAATTTACTTTGAGCTAGAAGTATTGCGGCACGGTCTTGTGCAAATCTTCATAAGAAAAAAGTATAAAAGCAGAAATGAGAAATTAAATACAACATTCTTAAGTCGTTTCTATAAATCAAATCACTCACATAGATCCTGTCAGTGCATAACTAGATGTTTTGTCTACTACGTCAAATATCTGTTCGTATTCATCCGTTTTATATCTGTCAAAAAAAAAAAAAAAGATAAAACTTTATATTAAAATGTTGACAATTTAAACAATAAATAATGAGGAATACTCACACATAAATTGTCAGTACGGGTCTATAACGTACAAATATCATTTATTAATAATAATTTTGATTTGTTTTTCTTATGGAAAAATATTTAACATGAACATGAAATAATACCCAAAAATCTCTTCAACCATGGTTCTGCTCTTGGGATTCTTGGTCACAATGATGGTTGGCTGTACAAAATACCCTTTGGAATCATCATAAGTTCCTCCCGCCAAGATTTCACTTTCGGAATCCTGTTCGGCCCATTCGATATAGGACTTGATTTTTTCAAATGCATTTGCGTTGCTATTGGTGAAGATGAATAAGTTTTTCGAATATTTAACCGTTTATTTATTTATTATTTATTTACTTACATTACAGGTCCCAGAAAATTGCCAAAATCTGATTCACAAGATAATAATAATAATGAACAACGATAGTTTATGTTATCGGTGAACAAAAAATTCATTACAACTCACCATCTACCGGGCCAACATTAATTGTGGCGTGTTTCTGAAGCAATTCACTGCGGAATTCTTCCCACAACTTATCCGGGACATATGCACGCGAACAAGCTGAACACTTCTGCCCTTGATATTCAAAAGCTCCGCGAATAGTTTGATTCACAGCGTTTGTCACGTCAGCTGATTCGTGGATGACGTGAAAATTTTTTCCGCCGGTTTCTCCAACTATTCTTGGGTATGACTTGTAATTATTAATGTTATTCCCGATGTCTTTCCATAGCTTCCTGAATACCTCCGTGGAACCGGTAAAATGCAACGAAGTAAAGTCCGGTGACTTTAATATTTGTTCGGTAATCTGTTGAGCGGG